CCTTCCTTCCTTCCTTCCTTCCTTCCCTCCTTCTTTCCTTCCTTCCTTCCCTCCCTCCCTTGCTTTTTTCCTTCCTTCCCTCCTTCTTGCCTTTCAGGCAGGGCCTTGCGTTGTCACCCAGGCTAGAGTGCAGGGATGTCATCACAGCTCATTCCAAACTTGAACTCTTGGGCTTCAACAATCTTCCTGCCTCAGCCTCCTGAGCTTTAGGCCTGGCAAGTTCATTTATAGAGAGCAGTGAGCAGGGCCTGGGTGGGGACTGAGGGAGTTCGGCATGAGGAGTGAAGAGACTCACGCAGATTATGTGTGTAGAGGACTGATGCACTCTGGTTGAGTCCTACTGAGCAAACCTCAGGTATTTATTATCATAAAGCAGAAAGAAATCGTTGAAACTTATTTATCAAAAAATCAGCAGTGAAAGGAGATATAATGCCCTAATTTCATTTTGCACATGGAGCCAGACTTACTCCATTTTGCTAAGGACTTTGCTAAGGGATTTCAACACTCCCCCTTTAAGCGCAGCTGAAAGCTGCAGAGTTTAGCAAAACTGTAAAATCCTGTGAAACCACAGCTCTCCCAGGTATGCACTCCCCTTACCTCTAACCTTGCAGGTGTTGGCTTTTATGAAACTCAGCTTGTGTTAAGGACTCCCCCTCCCCTACCAAAAGTACCTTATAAAAAGTTTGTGCCCTGCTTCTGGGGGTTGAGAGACTTTGAGGCATGAGCCTGCTCTTGACCACTGGCCAATACAGGACCCCTGCTGAATTTGGACTCAGTGTGCTGGCGTTTCTCTATTCCCCTCACTTTGGGTATAACAGAGGGGCATGGAAAATAGCAGACTTTGCCATCAAGTGACCTTTGGAGTGTAGAGAATCTTTACCATAACTTTTTGGCCTGGTATTGTCACATATCACGAGCTCGTTCCCCCCCACCCCCCCGACCAGTTTTCTGGCCTCTTGCATGTACACAGCTCACATACCATTCTCATAACTTGAGGTCCCTTTAGGCAGAAAACAAGTTTATGCTAAAGGCCAGGGTATGCAGAGAACAAGCTTAAGTAAGAACATTTTAGTATGGGGTATGAGGGCATAATTTCTCCTAGAGGAGGGCAGGTGAACGCAGGACACGGAACCACCCACTGGTGTGTTTTCCTTGCTCATCTTTGTGTGAAAGGCCCCATCTTCTGTACCCCTGAGACTCAATTTGCATTCACAGAGGGCAAGGCTGGGAGCTGTCCTTGGTGCCTGGTTCTTGGGTGGTGTGAGGACAGCTGAGTGCTCTGTAGGCTGGGCAGGTTCTGGTGAGTGTCCTAGTCCCAGCCCCTGACTCTCTTCCCAGGGAAGAGAGACTGGGGTTTGGGTAACGCAGAGGTGATCTTTTCCCTGTGTGACCTGGTCAGAATAGAAATGGAGCAGGTGAATTTCTGCTAAGTTTCCACCAGCAGAAAGACAGACTGTGGCCCACCAAAACACTCTTCTTCCTGGCCTGGGTCAGCTGGGGGATAGGATGAGGACGAGGGAAAAGCCCTAGTGCCTTCCAGTCCTTGTGAGAAACACAATACACTCTAGGGAGGCCGCCAGAGCTGCTCTGTCCAGGACCTCAATCAGAGGCAATTAGGAGCACATGTCTGGCTTACGGTAGTAAAATTAAATGGTTTGTGCTTTCACTGCAGCAAAGGTTTCTGTAAAGTCTGGAGAGAACCTAGGCCAGGAGGGCTGGACAGTTTATTTAGTGTCCTGCCTCTCTTATTATTGGACAGTAGTCTACTCACCTTTCACTTTCTCAATCAGGGGATTTTTGGCCTCCCCATTCTCCTGCCATGAGTCCATGCCCAAGTCCAGATATCTTTATCAGTGCCTGGACCTGGATGTTCTTTTAAAAAGAAAGACCCAGGCTCAGCGCCTGTAGCTCAAGCAGCTAGGGTGCCAGCCACATACACTGGAGCTGGCGGGTTCGATCCAGCCCCAGCCCACCAAGCAACAATGGCAACTGCAACAAAAAATAGCCAGACATTGTGGCAGGTGCCTGTAGTCCCAGCTACTTGGGAGGCTGAGGCAAGAGAATCCCTTAAGCCTGGGAGTTTGAGGTTGCTGTTAGCTGTGACGCCAAGGCACTCTACCCAGGGCGACAGCTTGAGACTCTGTCTCAAAAAAAAAAAAAAAGAAAGAAAGAAAGAAAGAAAAAAACAAAGAATGGCTTCCTAGCTGATTTCTAGAATTCTAACCTTTATTGTCTAAGCTGTGGGTTTCTGACCATGGATGCTGGTTAGAATTACCCATTCAGCTTTTTTTTTTTTTTTTTTTTTTTTTTTTGAGATGGAGTCTCTGTCTGTCTTGGTGGCTGGAGTGATTTGATCAGGGCTCACTGCAACATCAGGCTCCTGGGCTCAAGTGATCCTTCTGCCTCAGCCTCTCCAGTAGCTGGGACCATAGGCATGTGCCACCATGCCCAGTTAAGCGTTTTGCTGTTTTTTCTTGAGACAGGGTTATGCTGTTGCCCAGGCTAGTCTGGAACTTGCAGGCTGAGGTGATCCTCCCACGTCAGTCTTGGAAAGTGCTGGGGTCACAGGCAGAGCCACTACTCCTGGTTCCTTAGGACACTTAAAACCTGCCAACACCCATGCCTAACCCCGAGAGTCTGGTTCAATTGGTCTATGGTGTGGCCCAGGCATTGGTAGGTTGAGGATGCACAGTGGGGCTTAGTGCTCAGAGTTACCATCCCTGGTATTCAGAGACCTCAACATCCTGGGCCTCCTAATGTGATGGACTGAGAAGGGGCAGCATCACCTCTGTGGTGTTCTTGCCCAAACTGTGTAACCTGAGTTTAATCATGAGGAAATATTAGTTAAGTCCAGACTCAGGGTCATTCTACAAAATAACTGTCTAATATGCTTCAAAAGTGTTCAGGTCACTTCTTCTCTGATGCAAACACCAAATGGCAGATGACACCAGTGCAACAGGAGGCCTGGAGGCCCCGGGGGCCCTGGAATGAGAGGCCATGGTGGTTTCTATGCAGGCTTCGGCAGCGGCATTCAGGGCTGGGGTCACAGACATGGTTGGGGCTGAGGCCGCAGAGCTTGTGGAGTCAAGGCCAAGGCCGAAGAGTGGAAGCCTGTCACCAAGCTGGGCCGCCTGGTCAAGGACATGAAGATGAAATCCCTGGAGGAGATCTATCTCTTCTCCCTGCCCATTAAGGAATCTGAGATCATTGATTTTTTCTTGGGGGCATCTCTCAAGGATGAGGTTTTGAAGATTATGCCAGTGCAAAAGTAGACCTGTGCTGGTCAGTGGATCAGGTTCAATGTGTTTGTTGCCACTGGGGACTACAATGGCCATGTCAGTCTGGGTGTTAAGTGGTCCAGGGAAGTAGCCACTGCCATCAAGGGGTCATCATCCTGGCCAAGTTCTCTACTGTCCCAGAGAGAGGCTACTGGGGGAACAAGACTGGCAAGCCCCAGACTGTTCCTTGCAAGGTAACAGGCCACTGTGGCTCTGTGCTGGTACGTCTCATCCCTGCTTCTAGAGGAACTGGCCTGTCTCAGCGCCCGTGCCTAAGAAGCTGCTAATGATGTCTGGGACTGATGACTGCTACACTGCTACACTGCTACACTTCAGCCAGGGGCTGGACTACCACCCTGGGCAACTTTGCCAAGGCCACTTTTGATGCCATTTCCAAGACCTATAGCTATCTCACTCCTGACCTCTGGAAAGAGGCAGTGTTTACCAAGTCTCCTTGCCAAGAATTCACTGACCATCTTGTCAAGACTCACACCAGAGTCTCTGTGCAGAGGATTCAGGCTCCAGCTGTGGCTACAACATACAGTTTTTATACAAGAATAATGAAGTAAATTAAGTCTGTTCAAAAAAAAGTGTAAAAAATAAAGGCAAAAGAAATTCTGAAGAAATGTCCCAGATTAAAGGAAATGAAGGAGACAAAACAACCAAAAGCAACATGTGTTCCTCGACTGGGTCCGGGCGCAGAGAAGGGACATTAGTGGGAAGACGGATGGAATTCGAAAAGATAATTGTGTGATGCCAGTTGGAATTTGATTTTGATGATTGTACAACGGGTCATCTAAAATGTTACTATTTGAGAAAGGTGAACAAAAGGTACATGGGTACTCTTGCTATTTGTGGGACATTTTTGAAAGTTGAAATAATTTTCAAATGACAAATTAAAAAAGAAGGAAAGAAAAGAAAACTTCCAGGTAATCTTAGTGAGTTGCCAATGTTGAAAACTACTTCCATAGTTATCTTGCCCAGTACTATGAGAGTAATATTCCTGAAAATTCTTTTTTGTCGTATGTCTGGCCTTTTCCAACCTTTCCAGTGACTCCTGCCTTGTGTAGGATAAAGTCCCTGTTCCTTAAGCTGCCATTCCAAACCCCCATAGCATGGCCCCAGGGTGCTCCCTTGATTTACATAGAAGGACCTCCTGTTACCTTTTCTCATGTCTGAATTTATTCTCATTCTTTTCCTTCTTAAAATAATATCCTTGCTTTCCTCCTCAGCTTCCTGAATTGTGCTTCATTCTGCAGCCCATTTGGGACCCCATCTCTTCACTGAAGCTTCGTATGACTTCTCCCATTTCCACAAGAAGCAGTCATCTTCCCTGCCTTTGGAAGAGACAAGGGTGTGAAGTGAAACATGAGCGTTAGGTTCAGAAAATGTGAGTGTGAGTCCTGGCTTTCTTTTTCACCAGTTGTGAGGTAAGGGACAAGTTGACTGACATCTTGGAATAGAGGGATAGCCTCACCTACCTCGGAAAAGGTCATCGCGAGTATCAGATGAAGTGTACACACAAAAGTTCCCAGCACGTAGCAGGTGACTCCCTCTTTATTTTTAGGGCTCAGTGGTTCACAATGGGATTGTGGGTGGTGCAAAGGCTCTTAACAAAATTTCCTGTATGGCCTTTGAAAATATTTGTGCCTGGTTATCACTAAGATGATAAACATTCTTGAACTGAATGCAATGCTTGGGACTTTAAGGAATTCAACTGAGATTTTTTTTTTTCTGGAACACAACTCACTAAAGTGATCTATGGACAGATGGATGTATCCCCCAAGAGGGAAAAGGGAGGGACAGTGGGTTTCTAAATGGGGAAAAGCTGTGATGCCTTCCACACCTGCCCCTTTGTTCTTAGTCAGATAGCATCAAGGAATTACAACTCCTTAGTACAACTCATTAAGCTGTAAGTCCGTGTGCCCCATCACTGATCCATCCCCCGCCCAGGGGAACTGCACCAGGTGAGTCAGTCCCTCTGTGCGGGGAACAGTCCTCTCCCTTTCCTGCCTCCTCCACCCCCACTGCTCAGTGCTGGGTGCTCTGGTCTGGCCCCTGCTCCCAGGCCTGTAATATTGGTCTGAGTGAGTAAGGCCAGGAGAGGTGAGTGAGAAGGAAGTCAGAGGCCAGCAGGCATGGAAGGAGAGAGGTGGGGCTGCCATTGCTCAAATGCCACAAAATCTGGGTGTGTTTTATGAGTTTCTGGATTCATAATCTTCTTTGCTTTGTGACCATGCTGGGAACTCACCTTCCTGCTTCGTTCTCATTACACTTTCTTTCCCTGGTGTACCCACTTTATGGCCAGAGAATGGCTGTGCAAATAGTTGATAATTCAGTAAAAGTAACTTTTTATGAGATGGCAAAGCTGACCTGGCTTTCTCCTCCAAAGAGATTGAGGTTCATAAAAACCAGCTTTTATGAGGGGCTGTGCACTTGTGAATGGGGTGTTAGGGAGCAGGTGCACGAGTGAACCGTGAGACAGAAAACAAAATACTGTTTGCCAAATCCTGAAAGAAGAAGGGACAAAAAACCATTATGGAAGGTGGATGTCATTGAGGAGACCTCAGAAATCTTGGAGTCTTCTCTACCCAGATATGGTGGGAGACTTGGGCCATGATAGGTACATTATTTCTCTGCCTCACTCATCTATCTATCTATCTATCTATCTATCTATCTATCTATCTATCTAGGACAAGGTTTCACTCTGTCATCCAGACAAAACCCATAGCATCATCATAGCTCACAGCAACCTCAAACTCCTGAGCTCAAGTGATTCTCCCTCTAAGGCCTCCCGAGTAGCTGGGACTACAGGTCCATTTAGCCATGACCTGGCTAAATTTTCCATTTTTGTAGAGATAGGCCATTGATCTTCCTCAGGGTGATCTTGAACCTGACCACAAACAATGCTCCCACTTTTGCCTCCCAAAATGCTAGGATTGCAGGTTTGAGCCTCTCAGTTATTTTAATCTGTAAACATGGGGGATGTATATAGGAATTTTTGTGAGGACTGGAGCTGCAAGTAAAACCTCTAGGATAGTGCCTGGCACACCGTGAGTACAGAGTCAGTGTGAGCTATTGTCATAATGGGAGAAGGGGCACCCTGGTCATTGAAGCTGGGGAGGTGTTCTCCAGCCCCTGGCAGGCCAGCTGGAGGTGGAAATGGCCAGGGGGGAGGCTTAACTTCCAGGAGTGGAAGGATTGGGAGCAGTAACTCACGCACAACGTTCTGTGAAAATACCTTTCCTGGACAGCAGTAATACCCAGAGTGGCTGCAGCTTCTGTCACAGTTACTGTCTCCTGGGGGTCTAGGAATGTGTGCTTGAGTCAAATGGTTTTGCTGAAAGCCCATCCTAGAAACAGGCTTCAGGGTGGCGTCACAAATAGGTTTTGTCTTGCCAAAGGAAAGCACTTGCTTTGTTTAAGGAAAGCTTTCATCTTGTGAAAGGAATCCCCTCTTGTGGCCCAGGTCATTCCTTTGGTCTCTCTACTGTCCTAATTTATAAGGCGTAAAGAGAAAGACTGAAGAAGGGCGAAGAAGGAAATGCATGTGTAAAACAACAGGGCAGGGGCGGGATTGGTGTAAGTTAAGAGGACGCGTGGCCAAGTTTTAGGTGAACATAAAAAGCCTTCTTTTTAGCTAAGAGTAAACCTTCCATTCGTCCCACCATCTCATTACTAGGTATCTACCCAGAAGAGAAAATCATTTTACCATAAGGACATTTGCACTAGAATATTCATAGCAACTCAGTTCACAATTGCCAAGACATGGAATCAACCCAAGTGCCCATCAACACATGAGTGGATTAATCAGCTGTGGTGTATGTGTACCATAAAATTCTATTCAGTCATAGAAAAGATGGAGACTTCACAGCTTTTGTATTAACCTGGATGGAGGTGAAAAATATTCTTCTCAGTAAAGTATCACAAAATGGAAAAGCAAGTATCCAATGTACTCAATACTAATATGAAATCAATAAACAGCTACATACCCACGTAAGAGAAAATTCAAATGGAGAGAGGAGGAGGGAGGGGGATTGGTAAGTTCTCACCTAATGGGCGCAGTGTAAGTGTACACAAAACACCCCCTGGGTGAAGGGCTCAACTATAATTTGAACTGTACCTAACAAATGCAAACAATGTAACCTAATCATTTGTACCCTTATATTAATCTGACATAAATTCTCAAAAAGGCAAATAAAAACAGAAGAATGCAAAATCAAAAGTTAAAAAGGCCTTCTTTTTTTTTTAAAGCAGATCTCTCTCTATAAATGTAGTGGGCTGCCTTGAATGCTCAAGAACATTCCAGCAGAATCACAAGAGAATGGGGAGTGTGGCTTCTGTGCTCAATGGTAGGTTAGACCGAGGAAGTCCCTGGAGAGACTGGTGACAGAGGAGGAGATGGGTGAGGTGAGAGGACATGGATGGTGGAGGGAAGGGACGGGCAGGGTCGTCCCCCAGGTTCCCACATCCGATGCCTCCCACGTCTTATTTACTCTTCCACTGTCAGTTTCTGATGGAGTGAAGGTCGCAGACAAGAAAAGGGGCTGAGGGAGGCGAAGTGACAAGCCAGGGCCATCCAGCCAGTTGGTGGCAGAGCTGGTATGTTTCATCTCGAAGTTTGTGCTCATGCTCTTTGTTCAGAAGGGAAAGTGAGAGCTACAGAGGGAAGCTGACTAAGGAAGCAAAGCTAACTTCTTGGTAAAGTTTATGAAAGAGATCTGTGTTAGGCAGATCACAGCCTCCCCAAACGCCCACGTCCTGATCCCGGGAGCCCTTTAATGTTAGTTTATTTGATCAAAAGAACTTTACAGGTGCGGCAAAATTAAGGATCTTGAGATGGGGAGATGATTTTGGATTGTCTGGGTGGGCCCAGTGGAATCAGGAGGGTCCTACAACTGAATGAGGGAGAAAGGAGAGCCAGGGTCAGAATCACACCCAGGGAGAACGACTGCAGTGGCCACCACTGGCTTTGAGGAAGTGTCAAAAGACAAAATTACAACACATTTAGTTATAAATATGATTGGCTTTTATTTATGATTCGTGAATAGCTTCTAGTCCACAAAATACAACCATAGCTCCCACGGGGCCATACGAGAGCAGTTAAATAGAGAGGAGAAAACAGAACATGGAAAACTGATTGGTTATCATCAAGTTTCTTCAGGTTATTCCTTATGAGTGTTTAAGCAGAGGGAACTTCCTTATTATGTTGACTCAGACTGGAATCTCCTGTTCTCAGGAAAAAACTGGTCTTTGAGATCTTTCTGCTTCCTTAAAGTTTCAGTTTGAGTATGTGGCATTTAGCATGAGTGACTCGATTTTGGAGCCACTAGACTCTCACCTAGGTAAGAGTGTGACCGAAACTTAAGGCATTAGTGTCTGTTACCGTCGTTTGGACATCCAGTCTCAAGACATCATTGGTAGGTTATGACGTCCTCCCAATCACACACTGCTTTGAGTTTTTGTTCTTCCAGCCAAAGAGAGATGATTTGATGTTCTCAAATGGATTAAAGAGGGCTGCATGCAAACATTTAAAATGTTTAGAGAGTACAACACACCAGGGAGACAACTATTACGACTGTTATGACCATCAGAAGGACAACACCAAGAGTTAGGAGCATGCTCCTTAGGTGGGGTCCCCGTGAACCAAACCAACTATAGTAGAATTAATTAAAGAATGATCCAGATGAGGAATCTACCCATTATTAACCAAGTAGCATGCTTGTTAATGTTTGCACCAGAGTCTCTATAATACCTGATGTATTTATCCATGTGCAATAAGAAAGGTCAGCCAAGTGCCCAGACTTCTGTTTATCTAATAGGTAGAAGTTCTATTACCTAGCATTTTATGGCTGGGTTAAATTAAAATAGGGAGAACAAGTGGGCCTAGAAGTATGGTTGTAAAAGGGACACCTAGCACAATTTGAACAACCCAGTGATTTAAGGATGCTGCTAACACCGCTTGCTAGGTGCAGTATGGGACCCCTTAGGTCATGTAAAGATTTGGGTTTGACATGTTGACCTGACAGACCCAATAACGCGATCAAGTGACCTGCACAAGCAACGGATTATGAAATTCTAATTACAGCATTATCTTCTCAAGAGAAAGAGGTAGGCATAAGCAGGGAAAAATTAAGAGGTGGAAAAACTCAATTTAATTCAAGCAGAGGAGAGGGGGAGGGGGAAAGGAGAAGACGGAGGGGGGATTGGTAAGCTCCCACTTAATGGGCACAGTTGAAGGGTCTAGGGCATGCCTCCTGGGTGCAGGAGACAACTGCAATAGGGACTTTAGTAACAAATGCAAATACTGTTACCAAATGGTTGTACCCTTATATTAATCTGAAATTTAAAAAAATTAAGAAGTGTAAGAGTATCCTTATCATGGGGAGGCTTGTGTCCAAGGAAGTCATTGCCTTCTTGTTCTGGTTTGCAGTTTGCGTGTCTCTAGTTATGGTCTTGAACATTTTGGTGAACTCTAGTGGCACAAATCATGTGCCTGGAAGTTTACATTGAGTCATCTGGCTTCAACTTCAAAGGTTTTGGGAACAGAGAAGTTCTTATTTTTACTGATTCCATGAGGGAAAATTGTATTTGAGCAATGATAAGAGTTTGGGATCCAGGCCACTCTATAGGTAGATAATAAAACTTCAAAAACAATGAATAGAGCTACAATCTAATAATGGGTATCCTGGAGTTTTTCTTCTGAAGTATAATTTTTCTCTCTACAATCATCTCTATTTCTACCAAAGATGAACAGAATAAGACTAATTTGTTTGAAAAATCAGTTTAGGCCGGCACAGTGGCTCATACCTGTAATCCTAGCACTCTGGGAGGCCGAGGAAGGCGGATTGCCCTGAGCTCAGGAGTTCAAAACTATCCTGAGCCAGAGTGAGACCCTGTCTACAAACAAACGCTGGGCATTGTGGCAGGTGCCTATAGTCCCAGCTACTGTAGAGGCTGAGGCAAGAGAATCACTTGAGCCCAAGAGTTGGAGGTTGCTTGTGCCGAGGGCCACAAAGTGAGACTCTGTCTCAATAAAATAAATAAACAAACAAATAAAAATAAATTAATTAAATTAAAAAAGAAAATTAAAAACATTTCAAACTAAAACCATTGACTACAAAATTAAAAAATAAAAAAGAATTTAAAAAAAAAGAAAAGAAAAACAAAAATCAGTTTAGTCTCATCAAACTTGGCCTGGCTATTTACATCAGTGCAGCAAAAATAGAAATTAACCATACAGCCTCCTTTTAAGTTTGCTTTGCTAGAACTTTTAATAAGCAATTTCAGGCCAGGTGAGTAAGGTGGCTCATGCCTGTAATCCCAGCAATCTGGGAGGCCGAGGAACGTGGATTGCTTGACCTTAGGAGTTCAAGACCAGCCTGAGCAAAAGTGTAACTCTGTCTCTACTAAAAATAGAAAAACTGAGTGTGGTGTCCATGCCTGTAGTCCCAGCTACTTGGGAGGCTAAGGCAAGAGGATTGCTTGAGCCCAAGAGTTTGAGGTTGCTATGAGCTATGATACCATAGCACTCTAGCTGGGCCACGGAGTGGGACTCTGTTTCAAAAAAAAAAAATAAATAAATAAATAAATAAATAAATCTCTCAGATTAATTTTTTTAAAACCTCTCAAGACTATGAAGTCAAACCAAAGGAGACTTCAGACTTTGCCTACAGTACCTGTTGGTTCATTCTAGATACATTCTCAAATATGACATCCTAGTCAAAACCTTGGTAACATAACAGTATTTTCAAATGTATTCTATTATAAAAAGAGCAGATTCTTATTGAATTTATTCAAATAAATATATCATCATAATAATATGAATACTTATGAATAGTTTCCCAATTCTGGAGGGATCAGGTAAGGATAAAAAGTAAATGTTTCCATTTCATTTCCCAAAGTATATTTTACCAAATTGCTATAAGTTATAGATAGCTTACAATTTCAAAGAAAAAAGGTTTCTTTAGATCTGGAAAACAAAACATTTAAAGAACCAGGAAAGTTTCAAATAAAAAAGTCATAAAAACAGTATCCTCATTAATTAATTTTTTTCCTGCTTGATCTTGGTTAGCAGCTTCATGCAGCTGTCAGTCTCTTCACTTAAGTTTTGGAAATTGTTAGCCAATCCAATGGTATAAATTTAAAGTTATTAGAAACCTGTATTCAAGAATACTTGTTGGAGGCTCGGTGCCCGTAGCACAGTGGTTATGGTGCTGGCCACATACACCAAGGCTGTTGGGTTTGAACCTAGCCTGGACCAGCTAAGCAACAATGCCAACTACAACCAAAAAAAAAAAAAATAGCCAGGGCACTGTGGTGGGCACCTATAGTCCAATTTACTTGGGAGGCTGAGGCAAGAGAATTGCTTAAGGCCAAGAGTTTGAGATTGCTGTGAGCTATGATGCCACGACACTCTACCAAGGATGACATAGTGAGACTCTGTCTCCAAAAAAAAAAAAAGAATACTTGTCAGAATCTTTTCCATAAATCTCCTTGAAGAAGAAGCAATTTTGGACTGTAGCTGATTGCAAATGCTTTTAGAAAATAATCAAAACAACAGTCTGAATGACAAAGACTAAAAATAATTATGATTAAAAATCTGATGTTGCTTCATTATAATGACCCAACCCACAAGAAAAGGTGTGTGACATTATGACTAACAACATATTACATATTAGATGTCTAGGAATCTTGTATAATTTTTGGAACATTCATATCAATAACACACTCATAAATATAACTTAGAGAAGGTTTAGCATCACATAGTGTTTGAAAATGCTTGCCATATAATTTAACGTATCAAATAAGGTGGCTTCTCAATTTAGCTGTGTTTCTTAACTCTATTAATGAGTTCAGGATGGAGGCAATCATTGAATTAGGTCCAACAAAGTCTGTACATATTGTATTTTGAAAAATTTTGCTAGGTAATTCCGAGGCCAGTAATTTCCCCTAACTGACAACCACTGACTTAGGCCCAGAATAGGTCCTGCCTATTATAGCAGGGGTTCTCTGTCTTACCACTTCTTAGTAGCATTCAGTAAGGTTTAAAAATGATCAGTGTCTGGGTCTCACTCCAGACCAATTAAATTGGAATTTGTGAGTGGGGCCTGAGCATCAGTTAATCTTTTAAAATGTTTTCCAGTGATTCCAATAGGTAGCCCTATTTCCTACTAGATTTCTCTGTCTTCGTGTGGCATTTATCCTTCTCCATTTTTGTATTATACGGTAGAACCTCAGAGGTGGCCACCTCTTTACACTAACCACTTTTTTTTTTTTTTTTTTACTAACCACTTCTTTAAATTGACCCAATTTTCATAGACCGGACATGCACCACATGTATGTATTAGCACAGTAGGCCTAACTCCTTATGTCGACCACCTCCATATATTGAACAATTTGTTACAGTCCCTTGGGTGGTCAACTTACAGAAGTTCTACTGTATTCAAATATTATGAATATGAGCCTCTTGGGTCTTGGTATTGTTGGTTTTAGGTTTCTATTTTCCCTGAGGTACATGAAATATATAAATGAACACATGAATTAGTCCTTAGGAAAATAAGCTTAACACCAGGCAGGTTTTTTCCTGAGCCTCAGGTTGATAGTCAATGCCACTGTATTGTCCTCCATGAGGTCAGTGGTGCTAGTGATGAAAGGTGTGGGTCAGACCACAGTGCAGGTGGTGGATGGCAGACCACCCTGGCTGGAGCATTTTAGGCATAGCATTGGGACTAAGAATTATGTGCATGTGTAGGGTGAAAGGGCATGGTTGGGTAGGGAGACAGATCTAAGCAGGATGAGGGATTGTGCTAGGAAGCTGTAGTAAAGAAAGAAAGAAGGATTAGTAAAGAGAAGAAATTTGAACCTATCTAGTAGGCTAGAGTAGGCCACGATAGGTTCTTGAGTAGGAGAGTGAACTTGTCTTTAGGAAGGTAACAAGGCAGCAAAATGCAAGGAAGATTGCAGAGAAGCTGGGCACAAGAAGTCAGGCAGTGCTTTGCAAGTTGTTGAGGGCCTGGGTTAGTCAGGTTTATGGGAACAGAGAAAACAGGAGCAAGAGATCTTACAGGATCAAGAGGCTCTGATGATGTGTTGAATCTGGGGAGCAAATGAACAGGGGCAGGTGAATAGCCATGTCCAGGAGACAGTGGGGTGCAGGGAGCCCGGACACCAGGAAAGAAGAGACAGGGTAGGAATTAGAGCCTAGAAGCAGAGGGAGAAGGAGATCCAGGCCCAGAGACAGGTGAAGAACATCTTTCCCTCTTCCAAGCATGGCAGTTAGTTAGCCTTGGAGGAAACCCAACAAGAGGAAAGGCATCATACCCTCTAGTTCCGACAAAACAGAAAGTACGCTAGGGCTCCTATCAGAGCCACACCGGCCAGCACTCCAATCACGATACCAACAATGGCTCCCGCGGAGAGTCCTGGCGCTGGGGCATCCGCATGGGAAGAGAAGAGAAGGAATGAAGGTGAAATTATTTCACAGTGAAGGTCCCCCGGGAAACAACCCTCAGCATGAAGTACTCTCTACTTGTTCCTTCAAGGAGTTCTTTTGTGTGTGTGGTGGGGAGAAAAGCTGCTGGGAGGTGATTAGCCAACTACATCCTTGCCATTTTTTTCTGCAGTTCTTCCTGGCCTTTCTGCACTCAGACATTTTTGAAGGCTTTGAAATGTGAGAAAAACTCACTGAATTTTGTACATTGTTACAACTTTCTCTGTGGTTGCATTTTTTCCTCAGTATCTCAGATCCATGAGTATGAGCCTCTCAAGTCTCTATGGTAAGGATTTAGTTGACAGAAGGCCCAGGCCAGTGCACTCTGAGTTCGCCACCTCCTTTGTGCAACAGAGTCCTTACTTCCCATGGGCTCACACAGAGGTGTGAAGGCCCAATTCCCCCACACTCTGTTTTTCTGGGCTGAGTGACTGTCTCGAGGACTCCCCATCAGCCTGGCAGAAACTCCCTTAGAACCACACCACAACCTGACACTTCCTTCTATTTCTCCCTCTGGAGAAAGGACTGAGGACTGTCCCAGGCTCCTCCCACTCTTGTCCCACTCTCACTCCCGAGCATTTTGCCCAATAAATTATCCTGCATGTGTCATCCCATCATGACTGTATTTCGGGGAGGAAAACAAAAGTACCAGGCTTGAGAATTTGTGCTTAGCTCCTACATTTTCTCCTCTTGTATTTAGTCAGTAACCATGTTCCAGTGGGTTTTTGTGTAATCCTCCTTTTTCTCTCTTTTTCTCATTCGTATACACTCACATACAGAGGGTGTTAAAAATATACACACATTTTAGGAAAGGAAAAAACTATTAAATTTGTAATACTCAATATATACCCATAATAAAGATGAATAAAAGTCACATTGAGCGCCTCTTGTAATTGTAGAAGTCAAATGTGACTTGAGTATTTTGAAGAACCACGTTCTCCAAAAAAGATAAACAAAATTGGTAATCTTTACCGCAATTGACTAAGAAAAAAAAGAGAGAAGATTCAAATTACTAAAATCAGAAATGAAACGGAAGACATACTACCCATTCAACGGAAATGATAAGGATTAATAGACTACTAGGGATAATTTTTGCCAACAAATTGGATAACAAGATGAAATGGGAAAATTCCTAGATATATGAATCCTTCCAAGATGGAATCATGAAGAAACAGGAAATCTGAATAGACCTACAACTAGTAAGGAGATTAAATCAATATGAACATTTGACAAAATTCAACATTTTTTCATAATGAAAACCATCAAAGCATGAATAGAAGAAAACTACCTCAATGTAATAAAGGTAACATATGAAAAGCCCACAGGGAACATCATCAACTCAATGGTAAAAGACAGACAGCTTTCCTTTAAGATAGGAACAAGACCAGGATGCCTGGTTTTGCCACTTCTGTTCACCATAGTATTGAAATACCTAGCCAGAGAAGTTAGGCAAAGGAAACAAAGGACATCCAAATTGGAAAGAAGAAGTACAATTGTCTCTGGTCACAGATGTCATGAACATATATGTAGAAAATGCTAATAATCTTTTTTGAAAAAATATTAGAATTAATATGTTCACCAAAGCTGCAGAATACAAAACCAACTGGCAAAAATCAATTGTATTTCTATACATTAGCAATGAACAATATGAAATGAAATTAAAAAAAATTCAATTTACATTATTGTAGAAAAGAATAAAGTACTTAGCAACAAATTTAACTCAGGAGGTGAAAGAATTGTATCCTGAAAACAAGACATTGCCAAAAGAAATAGAAGAAGATGTAAATAAATGGGAAGATATTTTATATTCATGGGTTGAAAGCCTTATTAGTGTGACAACACTGTCCAAAGTGATCTGCAGAATCAATGTGAACCCTATCAGAATCCCAGAGACATTTTTTTGAAGAAATATAAAAATGTATATTAAAATTCATGTGGAATCTCAGGGATTCTGAATAGCCAAAACAATCTTGAAAAAGGAGAAAAAAGCTGGCGAGCTCATGCCCTGATTTCAAAATTTACTACCAAGCCACATCAATACCGTGTGGCACAGACATAGAAACCAGTGGACTAGAATATAGAGCCCAGAAATAAGTAGTGGTACATACAGTGGAACATTTTTGACAAGGGTATCAAGACTATTCAATGGGGAAAGGATAGTCTTTTCAACAAATGATACTGGGAAACTGAATGGTCATGCAAAAGGACGAGTTGACTCTTGACCTGCCACCATGTACAAAAATTAACACGAGATAGATCACACACTTAAATGTAAGGGCTAAAACCGTAAAACTCTCAGAAGAAAACATAGGGTAAAGGCTTCATGACACTGAATTTGGCAATGATTTCTTGACTATGACACCAAAAGCACAGGCAACAAAAGAAAAAGTAGATAAGCTGGGCTTTGTGAAAATTAGAAACATTTGTACGTTAAAGGACACAGTCAACAAAGGGAAGAGGCAACCTGTGGAATGGGAAAACTATCTGCAACTGATATAGCTGATAATTAATTTCAGATTAATTTCCAGAATATTTAAAGAACTATAACAAGTCAATAACAACAAAAATCCAATTAAAAATG